TTAGTTCATGGTTACGGTTAGGTGTATTAGATTTACGGTTTTCATCACGAAGTGGATAAGTGAATTTTTGCGCCAAAAATCCAAGACCTATTATCTAATATCTGATTGGTTCATTCATAAATTATAGTCTCATCCCAAAAGAATAAAATCGACTATAATGTTAAGATTAATAAATGAAAACAAAACTCTTAAAAATTTAGACATTACACTATGAACTAAGAACTGTCGTCTAAATTTGATTGAATAGTTTCATTACAGTATTTGGGTGTGAAGTTGATGTGAGATATAAAAAAGAGGAAGGATATTTCCATGAAAACTCTGCCTGGTGCCTCTCTGAGGCTACTGCCAGTCCCAATCCCGGATAAAGGAGGAGGGTTAGCCATGGGGTTGGGGGTTTCATTCCGTAGAAAATTAATTCGCTAAAGAAAACTCTAACCAGAAAAAAATTATTATATTTCTGTGAAAATGTTTGGATCAGATTGCTAGGTGAAATGTTAGATTTACTTCAAATTCTTTTGTTGAGATTATACAAATACATTAACATTCTACAGTAAAAAGTCGCAAAAACAAATTGATTATATATGGATTAAACAAAAGCTAAAGGATCATAGATGTACAGTGCTGAAGAGTTTCACAATAGGACGAAATGGTTGTCCAGTGTTTCCAGGTTTTCTATGATGGTCTAGCTTCAATGAACTCATGATCTCATCTATTGAATTAACTAAGATCATTATCAATTGATGCCGGTTATTACAGATTACATACAACAGTGACTACTAATCATTATTCAGATAAAAAGGATCTAAATATACTAACTACAAAACGAAATAAAATTATTTATATTACAGTGTTTCTAGTTACTATTTTCATTGTGCAAATACTAAAGTAAAATGATTTGTTTTTGATTGAGATCATGAACCGATTGATGTTAGATCACCGTGACCATCCGTGTCAGGTAGAGACAGATATCTACGTCAGTACAATGGAAGATGATCGCACAATTTTGCGGATTGGTTGAGATCAGGCATTAATGCCGTTAAATGCCGACTCAGTGGTCCAGAGGGTAGGCTTTCGCGCACGAGACTGAAGGCCCTGGGTTTGAATCCCGCGAGTGGGGTCGTGGATGAGCATTGCTGAGGAGTCCCACAACAGAACGAACCGGCCGTCCACTGCTTCCAGGTTTCCAAGGGTGGTCCAAAATCAGTCGGTTCATGATCTTAATCAAAAACTTAATAATCTCCACAAACCCTATACTGAAAATGATTTCTGTTACTAGTAAAATGATACTAATTAATGTAGTTATAAAGATCAGTGAACTCTAGTGAAATCACGAATTGATCTAATTCAGATAAGCACTATAAAGGTGAAAACCCTAGATGGTTATTCTGTTCTAATATGAGACTTTTGAGCAGAACACATTTATGACCTCAAAATCTGGAGTCGATACGAGAACCTTCAGTCTAGTGGACATAAATAGCCACCAGGACTTTCTAGGTTTACAATGGTTTTTTTTAAAAAACTTAGGTTGGTTCATAATCTCAAGAAAGTGAATAATTTTATGAATCTTTGGCGAGACTATAATTTATGGACAAACCAATCAGGTATAAGGTAACAGGTTTCAAATTTTGGCGGGAAATACACTCAACCATTTGGCTAAATAGGGTTTTGGCATTATAGCTGATGTCAGTTCGTGATGAAAACCCTAAATCTAATTCCTAATCTTAATCATCAACTGTTAATGAGAATTCTAACTGCTTTATAACCATAATTTAGTCTTAATCAGTAGGTGTCCACTCTCAAGGTCAGTTTAGCGTCACTCAAAGATTGTCCATCAATTATAGTCTTCACCGAATCTTTTTATATTTTGTCTTGAAACTATTTCTGTTGTTAAAGTATCTTAAAAATAGTTCATCTGATCTCCTTAATTATATCTAATGGTTAAGCGCGTGCGCACAAGACTGATAGGTCTTAGGTTTGAATCCAACGAGCAGGATCTTGAATTCACACTGCTGAAGAGTTCCACAATGGGACGAATTGGTCATTCAATGCTTCCAGATTTTAAATGGTTCTCTAACACCATACAGTTCATGATCTCAATTAGTTATTCACAATTTTAGGGATTTGTAAAGATTGTAATATTTTCAACAGTTGAATTAACAAGTCAATCTAAACTTGATCACCATTGAATATTCGAAAGCCTTGAATGGATGTTTTATGAAACAGGTATTCATCTCAGACAATAGATATAAAGGGTTACACAAGATCATTGATGAACTGAATTTCGATATTGATCGATAATTCTTTGTCAAATTTATTGTTTTAGTTTATCAGTCTAAATCTAAAATGATTATTGATCAATTAATGTAACTTATACAAAGTTCAATGTTGATATTCAGTTCGTTAATTGATTAAAGCAGAATACAGTATATACAACTATGGCACTCGAATGTATAGAACCCTGATAGTCACAAAATCAGAAGAGAAGTGATCTCTGGGTAAGAGTCAAAAATGTACAGAATATCATGGGTATTTATAAATATTAGCGTTTGTTGCACAATATTATAATTCAACCCATTCACAAAGAGGCATGTTATGCTACTACTATCTAATAGTAGCAGCATGTCACATTAATATTTTAGAAATCTTCATCATATTCTCATTGAATGGAAACTCTTCATCTCCTTTAATACTTCTAGAAGTTCTGTCATGTTTCTTGGAATTCATCTCAACAATTTAATATATAACATCATCCATTAATTCACATGGTATTGTTTTACTTGAATCTTCTCATTGATGTTTTTGGACTGAAATTGATCAGTCTCTTATTGGCATATGTGCATACTGTGTGTATGCCTCGATATTGCCTTAATTCACAAGCATTATAAGCAAAGATGGATAGTGGCTAGCAGTGGAATCCAGTGCGACGCGTGTTTTATCCTATTTAGGATTCGTCAGCTGGATTTACTTGCATCTCAGAGTTTATGTTCACTCCGGGACTCGAACTCAATACCGTTCACTTCAAACGCCATTGCGTTATCCACTTAGCTACTGAGTCCTGATAGTCACTTGCTTGTGCAATCGGGGATTGATCAATTTCAGTCCTAAAACATCAATGGGAAGATTCAAGTAAAACAATACCAAGTGAATTTGAACTTCACCCCATTGCACAATTAAGTGGCTATCAGGACTCAGTAGCTAAGTGGATAACGCGATGGCGTTTGATACGAACGGTACTGAGTTCGAGACCCAGAGTGAACATCAACAAGTCTGAGATGCAGGTACCTCAAGCTGACGAGTCCCAAATAGGACGAAACGTGCGTCCTGGATTCCACTGCTAGCCACTATCCATCATTGCTTATCATTCATTAACATTTCAATGATCAAAACCGACTTCTCTTATATGTAGATCCTGAGTAACATTGTAATCTCTAAAGTATATTTAAACATTAAGGTAGATAATTGTTTAAAACAATTTGTTTATATTAGTCTATTAAAACATAATGTTCAATATGATCATAGTATAGTGGAAGCACACACTATAAAAACATGACAATCCATCAGATTCAATGGATCACAACAACAACAACAAAAAAGAAGACAATGCGATCACCTTCAAAACAACTAATCCTAAAGTATACCAATGAAAGAAAAATACCAAAAAAAAAGTAAATAAACCATTCACCAAAAGTCAATTGTATAGTATTATTACTACCATTATTAATAATTACATGTATAGAATTGTATTAAATGTGTAATAACACGACGTTATCAATTATGCTGAAAAATAATATAAGAAAAATCTAAGTTTAAAGTATTACAATAACTAATAATTATGTAATCAATGAATGAATTGATTTCAATGATTAAGATCATGAAGCTAGACCACCGTTGGAAATCTGGAAGCACTGGATGGTCGTTTCGTTCTGTTGTGGGACTCCTCAGCAATGTGCATCCACGACCTCAATAGAATGAAACGGCCGTCCAGTGCTTCCAGGTTTTTCATGGTGGTCGTCTAGCTTCAACTGACTCATGATCTTAACTATTGAAATTACTATAATATCCAAAAAACCCATCTGACATTAATGAACTAATAAATTAATTAACAATTGATTATAGAATAAGAATGAGTGAGATTAGAATTGATGAACGACTTTGGAGCGATACCACCACTATGACTTTGAGAGTATTCCCCCCCCCCACCTAATAACGTAGACTAAGGTTACTACAGATTTAAAACTCGAACGGCCATGATATTATTAAACTCATTTCATAGAAAAGAACTTTTCTATCACAACACATTAACCAGTAAAGTACAAGAGTATAAGAGCTAATTCAGGATAGAATTCATTTCAATCGTTATTCAAAACTGTATAGCTACAATTTTCTTTCATCAATCAATCTATAGAGAGAAAACCTTGGATAAACTTTCAGTTGATCAATAGAACTATAGAATTAGTTACTGTAAAGATCTTTAAGTCAATACATTGGGTCATTCGAAATAAACATTAGTACAGATGACAATTTCAGATAAAATGATACAAATAAGTGTCTAACTTAATTGTTATGCTTTTTTAGACACTTTTCGTATAGTGATCAATTGAATTAGACTGTCAAGTGAATAATCACCAACTACATGAAAGAAATCATCAAACTGCCTAATGAGACAAACCTTAACATGGAATCTTCAAGGGAAACAGAAATGAGGAAGACTAAAGAACACATTACTTTGAGAAATAGAAGCAGATCAGAAGAGGATGAATAACAACTGGAAACAACTGGAAAGGATTGCCTAAGACGGGATTGGATAGAGTGTGCTGGTGGGCGGCCGCCGCCTATGCTCCTTTACGAGAAGTGATAGGTGTAAGTAAGTAAGTAAGTAAATGCAATTTACATTGGTTCCTATGAACCAGACATCTTAAAACGATCATTTATACAATCTTTTTTTTCCTATTTTCTTCTTTATTTAGAATAATGAATAGAATTGTTTTATTAAAACTTACAATTTGTTTTTTACATGTTGTATAAGGTAGACCACGTACACGTACTACAACTTGTTCACCATTTGTTAATTGATTTAAAAACTTTGTAACAGATTCTTGATCACCTATATAATACAATATAATAATGATATATAATTCAATATAAAGTAATATTACTTTTAATAATTATAGTAGTATTTATCAAATAGAATAAATATTACTTACTTACTTTACTTACCTATTTACTAACCCACTCACTTACTTACCTACATACTAACTGACTGACTTACTTGCTTACCTACTTACTCACTTACTGACTTGCTTACTTACTTATTGACTGACTTACTCAGTCATTCACTCACTTACTTACTTAATTACTTTCCATGTACCTATAAAATTGTTGCTCTGGTTGTTAGAAAAGAGCATCGGCCACATGAACTCCAAAGAATCTTGGCTTTCATCTTAAGGCGTCATAATTCTTCATTGAACTTTGAAGGGCAAATCACTTGGTATTGTTTTACTTGAATCTTCCCATTGATATTTTAGGACTGAAATTGATCAGTCCCCCATTGCACAAGCAAGTGACTATCAGGACTCAGTAGCTAAATGGATAACGCGATGGCGTTTGAAGCGAATGGCACTGAGTTCGAGTCCCGGAGTGAACATGAACTCTGAGATGCAAGTAAATCCAGCTGACGAATCCTAAATAGGATAAAACACGCGTCGCACTGGATTCCACTGCTAGCCACTATCCATCTTTGCTTTGAATGGCAAAGTTTAAATGATTTAATTTGTTTAATCTAGTTGGCGTTGTTTAGTTTAGCAAGATTTTTTTAAGGGATTGGGTTGTTGACCCTATGCTCAACCCTCCTCCTTTACCTGGGATTGGGACCGGTAGTAATTCTAGAAGAGCTTCAAGCGAAATAAATATTACGAAACATATTTTCATTAGATTATGCTTCATAAAATTCCTCATCTATATTAGATTTGTTTAACTGATTATGTACATTATATTTAAGTAATAAATACAATAGTAAATAATTTTTGGTAAGCTAAAGTAGATCAATGCACTTGAACTTATGTTGAACGTATGATATTGATACAATCCAGATTATCTAGTTGTTTAGACGTTGATGAAATCAAAGAGATTTGAATCGATTGTGGTATGTGCTACTTATATCAACATAAGTAGTATATAATCAATAATCAGAAATAGAAGCTCAAGAAGATCGAGGAAGGAAGAACGGAAACAGAAAGCAATTGTTATGGAAATGCAGGAATAATGAAGTCTGAAATGATTGATTGACATTTTGCAAATGAAGTATTTACTGTATGGTTGTGAGATTTTACCAAGACGTTCTATAATTATGTGTTCGAATACATTCGATTGTCCCCACTTGTGTTCTCGTTCACTACATCATAACTAATAGCATTCTTAGCTCAGTAATTTGATCAACGACTGACTATATTCAGACGTCTTTCAAGTACTTCAATTGTTTTAAAGTACTGATTAGTCTATTCATGAAGAGAATTTATCTTAAACATTATAACAATCACTGTATTTGATAATCTCTTTGAAAGCATAAAATCAATCTGATAACAGTATTCTCTATTCTTCTAAGTTTATTAATAACGACATTTCTTAATTAGTGGACAGTGGCTCAATTTCGTGAATTGGTTGAATACCGTTGAATACCGAATCAGTGGTCTATGGGTTAAGCGTTCACGCGGAGACTGAAGGCTCTGGATTTGAATCTCGCGAGCGAGATCGTGGATACACACATCTGAGATGTCTCATACTAGGACAAGACGGTCGTCCACTGCTTCCAGGTTCTCCATGGTAGTCTAACTTTAATTGACTCATGAATTCAACTATTAAAACTAACTGTTTATGATTATGGCTTTAATTTAGATTAGGTTATTCAGTTTATTTACTATTTCAGTCAAAACACCAGAAATAAAATATCTGGCACAATGATGCAGTGAATTAGTTTAAATATATACCAAACAGACATTTTCAAGTAAGTTCACTTAAACTCTGCTTATCGGGCCCATTGAATTAAAGAAGTCAAGTGTATCGTTCTGTATCCCTTGATAGTCATTGATGAACTTCAATCGTAATAAGGTTTTATTGAGACTATAATTTATGCACGACCTTTGAGCGACGCTAAAGTGACTTTGAGAGTGTCTACCCACTTAATAGTTTGAAGAATAAAGACAATGATTTACATTTGATGGTTACAAATTAGATTTAAGGTTTTCATCATGTACTGACATCAGCTATAATGCCAAAACTCTATTTTGCCAAATGTGTAAATGAATTTCGCGCCGAAATCTAATGACCTGTTATCACAGATCTGATTGGTTTGTTCATAAATTATAGTCCTGCCACCCGATTCATTTAATTTGCTGGTATATTGAATAGGCCATAAATTGTATCTAAAATATTAGTTGCTATCACACTGCATAGATTATGGTGAGTTTATGAGGAATTAGCTCAAAATGGACAGAGTTGGATTTTTTTTTAGATTTCATTTTAGTGATTATGTCTTTAGTTCACCATAGATACATGAACATTAATCAAATGACCGTTGCGCATTCTGTTGATGATATGTTGGTGGATAAATCGCTCTCTGATTGTCCTTTGTAAAGCTATTTTTACTAGTATTCGAAAAACAGCTACAATGAAGGTATGAGATAGTAATTAGAGTGTAGATTCATTACTAAAGGAGAAAATCTTGATCATTAGAATATTGAAAATATCCTTCTATTATATATATTAACATCAATCTCACCAACTTTATCAAGTTTTAACTATGCCTTCAAGAAGGATGACACATCAAGCTTCGTTTAATGAAGCAGTATTATAGTATGAAGAAAAAGAATGTGAAGTTAGTATAGTTTAAGGAGTTCACAGAATATTCATTCGGAAGAGAAGACAAAATGACTTCAAGGATTATAAATTATTACATATAATCGAAATCCTTATCATTAGTAATAACGTTTTATATAGTGTAATAGAGAGGATACTTTTTATACAAATTTTCTAATATCCTCATCATTTGCTTATTTGTGTTGTGTAAGGACGGTCTACGGGTGAACTCGAGGAAGCTCTAAGAAGCTCAGAAAGACCTGAAGATATTCCATCCAATCAGCTTTCTTTGAAGAATGTTCCAGAATCACCATGTGTAGCTTCCCTATTGGACAATAGCTAAGAACCCCCTGTGTGCGGATTGGATAACTATAATGATGATTTCATTTTCACTAAGAATTATAAATACTTGACAGTTTTTGTACTATAATTGATACTGTTTGGAATAACATTTCTTTCACTTGTCTTCTCTCTTCACATTTGCGTCTTAGGAGGGTCCTAGCGTCCAAGTGCTCAAGTTATACACGGTATATTAAGCGTCTAAACTCTTGATATAACATGTTGTAATTATGTAATTAGTGTTACAAAACTTGATATACGCGTGTATTTAGTTCGTGTTCAATAATAATGATAATATAGTTACAATGGTTTGGCCTTATTCCATATTCAATCAACCTCGAACTAATTAAATAGATAACTATTAACTAAGAATAACTCGGCTAATCTTGTAAATAAAACAGATCTCAATTAGATAATCACTATAATTCATTAAACATGATAACAATTAGTACGTTATGGTTACTAACTCAACTGTTTACAACAACCATCCTATCAGTAATCCAATGCCACTTCTTCAAAACACACAATCACCTCTCAACACCTTATTCAAAACTCAATCGGCCATAATCCCTACTTCAATCAACATACTCATTAACATGTCAAACAACAGTCAAACTCGGAAAATTAATCATCATTTTCACTTACATCCAGCACACTGAACAAATTCCTTCCCTGAAGCTGGATAGATTTGCAAGTACATCGGTTTCATTGAACCACTTATAATCTGTTGAATACCATCAGTCGAACACTCACTACGACTATTAACACAGCTTTGATTGGTGGGATTACTGTTGTCTGTAACATGATTGTTTGATGAGGATGACGACATAATATGCACATCCAATGTATTATTTGCAATCTCTGTCATCAACGAACTACACAAATGATGTTGATTTCTTGCTAATGCAAGTTGAGCATTCTTCGAATCATTGAAAGCAACAATAGCAGTGTTACTGCGTCGTCCATCTGTCAATCGAATGGCTACTCCACCAGGAAGAACATTCAGACCGGTGAAATAATGAGCGATTGTAGCTGGTGTGGCAGTCCATGGAACTTGACGTATTTCAACAACTTGACTGTCCATTATTTTCAATTTACGTGAACTAATAGAATGGAATAAATAGATAGTTGACATCTATAAAATGATAATTAGTTTATATAGCACACATTTGTGTTCTTGTCTACAAAAAAAGATCGTTATGCATAAAACTGGAAGCACTGGACGGTCGTTTCGTCTTACTGTGGGACAATTGTGACTCGATTTCGTGGATTGGTTGAGGTTGGACATTAACACCATTGGATGACTACCAAGTCAGTGGTCTAGAGTCTAAGCGTTCGCGCGCGAGACTGAAGGCCATGGGTTCGAATCCCACGAGTGGGATCGTGGTTGCGCATTGCTGAGGAGTCCCACATTAGGACGAAACGTCTGTCCAGTGCTTCCAGATCTTCAATGGTGGTCTAACATCAATCGGTTCATGATCTCAATCAAAAACTTAACAATCTCCACAACCCCTAAACTGACAATTACCATGTGTTCGCTAGTGACTAGCTTCGTGAGGGAATTCTCGGAGTTCTGGTGAGAAGCCGTGACCAGTGGAGCTAATCTGTATCGGGTAGAGACAGATATCTACCTCACCAATGGATGACGACTCAGTGATCTAGAGGTCAGGCATTCGCACTCTAGATCTGTTACATTTCATAGGGATCACGAACTAGTCTAAGTTAGATAACCATTGGATTAGTCAGCGGTGCTCGATCACGATCCCGTGAACAATCAACAAAACTTGCTAAAGCAATGCCGAACTATCCACAATGTCAATGTAGAACCTCCAGTCTCATATGAGACCTTCAGCTCTACATAACCATATAGCTTAGTGAACAAAGATGTTATGTTTAATGATAACATGATTTTGTCATTCATATTCATATCTTTTTATTGTATTCACAAATTCAAATACACCTTTTAACGCTATGCTTAATCAATTTTAGGTGTAATGGTTCTAATAATTTCATCAACCATTTTACTGTGAAATGAAATGATGAATTTGACATGTCCAGAATTGAGAGTAAACGAACCCCTATGGTTAATGAATCTTATGTAAACCATAAAGTAATCTTATCTTTATTTTACTACTGAATAGATGAAATGAATTTAGTCACACATAATAGACGAATAACTTACAATGTTTTATGTTCATAATTATAACGTACATACTCAGGATCTTTCACTTGGTAACCTAGAAAGTATTAAGATTCTGAATTAAATAATCATAGTTCATAATAATAAATATTGAATCAATATATAATTCAGTAGTATCAGTTAGTCAGCTACAACGTTGGAATAGGCACATATGGTTTACTTGAAACTTCTCATTGTTCTTTAGGACTACAATTGATCAGTCTCTTGTTGGTATATGTGCATCCTGTGCGAATTGCCTCAATATAGCCTTAAGTCACAAGCTTTATAAGCAAAGATGGATGGTCGTGGCTAGCAATGGAATCTAGTTCGACACGCGTTCCATCTTATTTGCGACTCGTCAGCTAGATGCATCTGCATCTCAGTGTTGTTGTTCACTCTCGGACTCCAACTCAGCACCGTTCACTTCAAACATCGTCGCGTTGTCCACTTATCTACTGAAACCTGATAATATATTTGTGCGATACATTTCAAACAATCTGATCATACATAATATACTCGTTAAGAACTAGACTAAACTAGACTAGATTAGATTAGACTAAACTAGAAATGAAGGTTAAGAGAAGACAAGGATAATAAACAAGATCATATGAAAGACAATGTGGAAACTCATCACTAATATTACCAGGCTATGGTTAACGTGAGAACAAACTGTTTTTGAATACACAGTAGAGGTTTGGATTCTCGTATGGTTAAGGATTCAATAAACCTTAGTATACGCCATTTGATACTTTTGTACAACACCACCAAAAGCCAAGTTAACATCAATCTTATCACCGATTTCAATTATGTGTTTGACAATAGAGGATGATGGATATTTATCCTCTACTCTTATTGAGTCATTTGATGATTCTATTTGTTTCTGCAATCATTTAGCTACATGTTCACACACCCTAATTTTCAGATCACGATTACCCCTCCACCTTATGTATGTGTAACCACACACACACAAACAAACATTTAAATTGATAGACACAGTGGCATGTGACACTATTGTTTTCGTATCTTTTAGGTTTTCGATGAAGCACGAATCTTGTTGTTTCCTTGATAATGACCTTCACTGCACAATATGTCTTGTTAATGACTGACTTAAGTTTTTGTTTCAATAAAAAGGCTATTTGAATCACCTCTGAATGGTAAGATGATGCAGATAGGATTTTCCTCTGCCAAAGCTATAGTAAGTAGTAGGACTCGAACTCATCCGGTCCAAATGTCATCGCATTATACACTCAGCTACTAAGTCCTGATAGTCGTTTATTTGTGCAATGAGTTGAAGTTTAAATTTCACTTGGTACTGTTTACTTGAATCTTCCCACTGTTGTTTAGGACTGTTATTGATCAGTCATTTATTGCTATATGTGTATACTGTGGGTATAACCTCGATATTTCCTTCAGTCACAAGTTTTTTAAGCAAAGATGGATGGTGTTGGCTAACAATAGAATCAAGTTTGACGCGCGTTTCATCCTATTTGGGACTCATCAGCTAGATGTACCTGCATCTCCGAGTTTATGTTGGAATCATAGAGTGAACATCAACTCTGAGATGCATTTACATCCAGCTGACGAATTCTAAATAGAAAGAAATACACATTCTCGATCTCATTGTTAACAACTATCCATCTTTGTTGCTAAGTAGATCAATATTATAATTTCAATACAAATCAATCATTTCTAAACGCCTGTTCAATTATAAGTAGATTACATGAAAAATACATTTGGTTAGACAAGGATATAATAGATCTTCAATGATAATTGTTTAGAAGAAAGATGAATATGCATTGAGCATATTGACTATAAACGATCATCATTTGAATTATTAGATCAATTTTTTTTTTAAAAAAGTAGGAAGTTTTCGTCTATCATTGAAATACTATTTATGTTAGACTATAGTGTTGGTTGCTATGCCAAATCCATAGCGTTTATTCTAGTTTCTGGACAAACCAATTTATTCATTCATTTCAAGCTGTATTTTGACCTTGTTAATTATTTTACTTACCAACCTTAACTGTTTTTTTCATGTAAGTGTATGTATGTCTGTGTGTGTGTGTGTGTGCATTTTGTATCTTACTCATCACATGTTTGTAACTTATTTCTGTTCGGTTATAAATATCGATTAATGCTTAGTTATAAATCGAGTTGATTTACATGCCTTCTCTACTGCAGGTTATTTCATTTCACGCTTTTCTCTTCGCTTTCTTCACTATATGTTTCCTCGATCATTCGTCTGGATCGACGATTGGATGAAATACATATATTCGAAATCTATTCTTATATTTGACTTATTTCATTCAGTTATTCACTAACTCAATTTAAATCGTAGCTTATATACAACGGTTTCAATAGAAATGTCAAGACAGTTCTACTGTATGGGGCGGAAACCTGGAGAACTACGAAAGCCATCATCCATAAGATATAGGTGTTTATTAACAATTGTCTACGCAAAATACTTCGGATCCGTTGGTCGGACACTATTAGCAAAAACCAACTGTGGGAAAGAACAAACCAGATCCCAGCGCAGGAAGAAATTAGGAAGAAGCGCTGGAAGTGGATAGGACACACATTGAAGAAAGCACCCAACTGCGTCACAAGACAAGCCCTCACATGGAATCCTCAAGGACAAAGGAGAACAGGAAGACCAAAGAACACATTAAGCCGGGAAATGGAGATAGACATGAGAAAAATAAACAAGAATTAAATGGAACTAGAAAAGAAGGCCCAGGATAGAGTGAATGGGTTGGAGAATGCTGGTCGGCGGCCTATGCTCCATTAGGAGTAACAGGAGTAAGGAAGTTAGTAAGTTATATACAACGGTAGCTATGATGTATATTTCTATAACTCAATAACAATCATTCGTACAATTCAACTGGAGTCCGATATTACAGGGTTACGAATAGGCATAAAATCTTATATTGAATAAAATCAAGTAAAGTACCATGCACTACATCATTTTACATACTTTTTGTACTCGTAATATACATTTGTTATTACTAAGATTACTATTAATATTATTTTAATGATAACTGGTTGCATAATGGTTAACCCCACACATTTTAACTACCTATTCGTCATTACATATGATGAAGTGAACATTTGATTTATAATGTATAAATAACTCAAAATTGTTGTAGTGTATATGCTACTTATGTCGGCAGACATATGAAGTAATCAATGTATGATTCTTATATTTTATCAAGAGATTGTGTTATTTTGTATTAAACAATAAATTAGTTGTCCTCATCTGTGTGTTCGTTCGTTATATTTTATAACGTTACCAAAGGGAAGCCTAGAAGAGTGTAGTTTTTCGGACGCTGTTGGCGGCCTAAGAGAGGAGGCACTAGTTGGGGTTGTCAGTTTCGGGGGAGTGACGTCGGATAGAGTGTTCTGGAGGAGCGGCGTTGGCTGTCACGGTTTCTGTCAACAGAGAAGAGCAGTAGAACATGTGGCTGTTGGGCGGACATCAGGTCTAGATAACCCGGCTAGTCGACATTGCTACAGAATTCAGCGCGACGACGGACTCCACATTTTGGCGGAGAACATAGCACAGACTTTGGCAAAAGAGAAAATGGCACAGCGAGTAGAACTATCACAAGAAAAAACTATTTAAAGAGGGAATAAGTGTGATGTTTGCTACTTAAGCCAACAGACATATGAAGTAATCAATGTATGATTCTTATATTTTACAGAGAGGTTCTGTTATTTATGATTTATGATTCTAACATCAATTATTAAAAATACTTCGAAAGTAGATAAGTGAAATACAACTAACCTTTCTTAGTTAATTCAATTACTATATTTGCCATTATTTCAGCTTTAATAGCGGCTACTTCAGTCTCTTCTGAATCAATTTCCAATGCTGTAAACAAATAATAAAAAAGAATGCATTTTTTTAGGGGGGGGGAGAGGGGTATTCGTCCACAATTATACAAAGATTTCCTTTGATAAATCTCTTTCAATTGAATAGGTTAAAGTATTCATACTAGTAAAATACAGAAAAGAAACGCCATTAATCATTAATGATCGGTCACAATCTGAGTTTTCAAGAGAAACTATCATGAAATATGTAAGAAGAAATTATCATAATTCCTACTTTTTGAACTTTCTGCGGTAAGACTATAATTGATGGATGAACTAATCAGATTTACGAGAACAGATCTTGGATTTTGGCACGATATTCATTTAACTATTTGGCTTAATTGCGTTTTGTTATTTTGGCTGATATCAGTTCGTGATAAAAACCATCAACTAAAAATCATAATCTTAATTCCTTACACTAGTTTATAACTGGTATTTAGCTCTAGTAACAAGGTGGACATTGTATAAATCACTTTAGCGTTGCTCAAAGGTCATCCAGTAAACTATAGTCTCACTGTTTTTGTGAATGAAGATGTCTAAAAGAATAATGAAAGCTTTATGAATACGTCATGCTACATTTATAATACAATATACGTAAAGTATTATATAGCTGTATTATTCATAAGATGTTTATGTATATTTCAAATACCTTATAAAAGGATACAATATTTACTTGTATTTTCCCATTGTTGTATAGGACTGCAATTGATCAGTCTCATGCTGGCATGTGTGCATCCTATTCGGATTGCCTCGATATAGCCTTAAGTCACAAGCTTTTTAAGCAAAGATGGATGGTGGTTCCCTCAAGATTATAGGTACACCTTGCTGACGAGTGCCAAGTAGCACGAAACCCGGGTCCAGGGTTTCCTGTCGACTACCTCCAAATACCATCTAATCTCAATATATAGTGCCCGCAGTGTCGAGTCACCTAGACTGGTGGCCACATTGCAACATGATCGATAGCATTCGATCTGCACTAATAAGGACTAGACAAGCATGACATTGATCGCCACCCAGTGATCAATCAATTGTGATGGATGGTGGTGGCTAGCAATCGAATCCAGTTTGACACGCATTTCATTTTATTTCCGACTCGTCAGCTAGATATACCTGCATCTCAGTGTTGTTGTTTACTCTGGAACTCCAACTCAGTATCGTTCGCTCCAAACATCATCGCATTACCTATTTAGTTACTGAGTCCGGATAGCCACCTGCTTGTGCAAACAGCCTGATAACCGAGGCCATCTCAATAATAAATGCTCTAAAAAGTGTATTGACAGACTAGGTCAAGACACATTGGACAGTACTCGCTCTATCGATATAAATCCATCTCAAATAAGCTCAGTAATAGATCAAAGGAGGAAAGACTGACTTCAAAGAGGTCTGTCCTAAATACAAACTCAAGAAAGGAAGTTTCCTCTGTCTACAACATTTATTTAGTTACTAAGCTTTTCATTTACTAAAATTACGAAAACCAATCAAATAAACTTTAGTTATTCAATTGTAAAGATAAGCTTGTCAAAACTAGACATTCTCTATATCTGTTATGAATGTATGATGAATGGAAATTATAAAGCTCATTTCGTAAAAATAGGTCCGTCGGTCATTCTTTGACAAGATTGACCCCTCAGAAATCATCTGGAAACATGGGTCAGTGAGGAATAAAGTAAAACAATGTATGAAACTATCTATCATACAGATTCCAGTTAACCATGACCATTTTTTATTTAGATCTCTCCGCAGATGCTTATCTTGTAGACCACTAAGCAGAACCTCAGTGGTATATATGTCCAACTTTAATCACTTATATTGCGCGACCATCTCCGATTGTCTCCAGCTGGTACCTTCCTCATACCTGACATGGTTGAACTTCACTCGCCACAGCTTCTCACTAAAACAATAGAAATTTCCTCACGAAACCAGTAGCTAGTGAGCACATGATAACTATCTATGTTGATTGTTGAATCTTGTTGAGATCATGAACCAACTGAAATTAGGCATTCATTGAAAATCAGTAAGTACTGAACCGCTGAGGAATCTCTTACTATAACACAAATAATATCGGTTCGTAATTTCAATAACAGTCTACAATCTACACAATCCTCACACTGGTACTGATTGACAGAAACCGAATTCTACAATTCCCATTGATAATACTCAAGCATACGACTAATATATAAACTTGTTCATCACATTCGTTATTCTCAATTAAGGCAGGAGTAGAATTTGTACGCGAATGATCGGCGAGACTCTAATTTATGGACGACCTTTGCACGAATCCTAAATGACCTTGAGGAATGCTAACCAATCATCAAACAGTCAATATAGAGTAAAAATATGTTATACAAAACCAAGGAAACAAAGTGGATACACTTCTGAGACGTAGTTCAAAAACTTGTCAAGGTTAGAGAGAGGTTCAGAGGTTCTAAAATCTTAATACATGCAGTAGAGGAAATTGTCCATATGGCTACAGAATAGTTGGCCTCTGGAGACATGATAAAGACTCAAAAACTCTTTCAGCCTCGACCACACAGCTTCAATATTGTTTATGTACACTCCGGTTGTTGAGTGCACAAAATGCTACTTGTGAACAACGAGACGATGCACATAACGAAGCTTATGTAAGAGTCTGTATGCTCTCCAAACCTCCGAATATATTGTAGTACCTGGCTGCAACCAGTGTTAGTGGTGCTTTTATTATCCAGTTCGCAATAGTTGTCATAATTTGCCTTAGTTAGAAATTATATATGGGTTTTTCGTCACGAACTGACATCAGCTATAATGCCAGAAATTTATTTAACCAAATGGATGAAAGACTTTCGCGTTAAAATCCGAGATCTATTATCTTATACTTGATTGATTCGTCCACAAATTATAGTCTTGCCGTTTTATTTGTTATAGTTGCTCAATTATCACATTTTGTACAAAATTCCCTGTGAACCGATCGTACGTTAGCATTAAGCACTGAAGTTTGGCGCCGTAACCTTGAAATCTCTAAAACGCCTTTGATTGGCTCGTCCATAAATTAGAGTCTGGCCGAATGATCTTTTTAATATTCATACCCATGATTACTGTTCTAAAGCTTTCAAAAAGACAGTTGTCAAAAATAACTTTAGAGATGACATAATATATACATATATATCTTCAGTTTAATTCAACAATTTATCATTCTAACTTCCAATATGATCCTAGCAACAGATCATAATGTTAAGCTTAACAAGTGTGTATGCTATTCAACACTTCATTTCTCATGAAATCAATCAATACAAGTAGGCTTAATTGCTTAGTTTTATTCAAATTTATATTATATAATCTTCATGATAGTTCAAGATGGAATTAAGTTTGATTATGCATAAGTCATATCATATTACACATCGAAATGTATGCGAATAATGATATGAATGAACTGTAAATTGTTTATAAGGTAATCTTATTCCTTGATACCTTAGTAAGGTACAATATTTCTCATGTTTCATATTATTATAGTTTATGTGTCTTTGTAGATTTCTACTTATTCAATCTTTCCCTTCATTCATTGTATACAATGTAGTTTCACTTCAAATAAACTTAGAACTCATGAAGATTGATTACTTCTTTGATTCTTTATTGAAATCTTTCATTATGTTAGATGCTTTAAGTCATGAGTTTGAATTCTTATCAATCTATTGAAGTTAAACTAGTCACAGTTACTGACTTGAATCAAGTTCTCAGTTACTAATATTATTCAACTTACTTATTAAGTTGTAATGTTATAACATGTGATCCCTTTAAAATACTACTAAACATTAGCATGTAATCATAACTAATAATTCAAATGCGTATGAAATTTCCACTAAGTAATCTATTTCATAGATCTAGGACTAGTTCGTAAAACGATAACATAAAGAAGAGTGAAAGCTAAATGTATCAACTAGATAAATCGAACAAAATGTTATGATTATTGCTAAAAATGTAAACTGAAGTTTAAAAACTCATCAATTGAATTTTCAAATGAATGATTATGATAGTGAATGGAGGTAGTCAATAGAAAACTCTGGACCTAGGTTTCGTACTACTTGATAGTTACTTGATACTGATCAGCAAGGTATACCTATAATCTTGAGGGAACTGATACTTCCTGACAGATGACATCCCAGGTCACCCAGGCTTCATAATCAGAGACGTTACCACTGAGCTATTCATACCCAATCTAGGTCTAGGATTGAATCACCTAGACTGATGACCACATTGCAACTTAGTCGATAGGATTCGATCTACATTAAGCAGGATCAGATATACATGACATTGATCATCACCCAATGATCAATCAATTGTAAATTAATGATAAAAGAAGATCATAGTGACTAAACTAGATCAACAATTTCAACATGATTGACAACTCTCTAGAAATCTAAGACTTTCACTTAACAGCTATTCATTCCATTTTTTCCCTTAAATTTCCAATGTTTTAGTTAGTGCCAGTTTTAGACAAAAACTGTGAATAGATAATTTACTATAAATGGTATTGTAACCAACGTAGTAACTAAAAATACGAGAGATCAACTTATGAATTAAGATTTATTAGAATTTAATCAAATATACTTGATTGAATTATTCAAAAGAATTTACATGAAATCTTGATCCTTAACTGAGTTCCATATTTCATGAGTCAATTGAAGGGAGAACATCATAGAAAATCTGAAAGCACTAAATGGACGTTTCGTCCTAGTATTGAGACTCCTCAGCAGTGCCATATTGACATAAATATTTACATTTATAAAATATAATTAACCAAATATCTTTATTAGAAATAATTCATTATATCTAATTACTATATTCAATATAAACTTGGAATACATTAGTTTTCAGAAAAAGGTGTATATAAAATATGCCATAGAATCATTGCAGTTTTCAATCAAATTATAAAAACATTACTGAATACCATACAATATGCAATATTGTTATAGTGAATATATTCCAACACATAGTTACAGAACATTTCATGAAAATACAATAAATCAC